GGGGGGGGAATACACATACACATAGGGTTTCGAAATTTTATGAGGAAAAGGTCCAAATCATTACACAATTAACTCACAAAACATTAAAGATGATGAGAAGCAGACCAAATCAACCAACCAACCAACCAGCCAACCTTCAATTCAATTTTAATGTTCCCTAAGCTTTGTGTTTCAGAGTCTTCCTCCTCAAGACCCTTCTTTTATTGGGTCGGGGTCCACTCCACTCTCCCCCCCCCCTTTTGGCTTTCTTTCCATTTCCTTCTTATTCTATATGCTTTTGGTGTTATTACCAATCCGTAATTGCATTTGATTCCCACTCATTTTTTTGTTCTTATATAAAAAACGTGAAAATTGAAATCGAATTTTAATTTCCATAACAGCGGCACTATGGATATGGCTCTTTTATTTTTCGTTGGATGAATATAGGGCAAAAAAAGAAAGAAAATGGGGGTCATTGGAAACAAAAAGTCAAAAGGAAACAGCGTGAAAATGTGGAAATTATTATATATTATGAATTTTATTAGAGAGGAGAAAAAAGCAAAAAAAAAATAATGGGTCCCACATGAAGGTGGGGCCGTTTGGTGTGGGTATGGGCCCCACTTTCTACAGATGGCCGCTTAGATTTTCCCTCTGTGGCTTACTTTTGTCAGTCGCCTTCTTTTTTTCCCCTCTTTTTCTTTTTATTTCTATCTTCTTTTACTTTTAAACGCATTTAATTTTAATATTTATATGACGGTCCGTCACATCTTTTAACAAAGGGTGGAATCTGCGTTTCCTCTTATTTACCAGAGAACCCAAATAAAGCAAGGTTTGGGTGTTTTTTCTAAAGCAAAAAAGCAATTTCTGCCAATATTGGAAATTAAAACATATTTACGCTCTAATATTGTAATTTTGGTTTTTATAAATTGCTCAAAGCTCAGAAATAACTTGGACAAAAAGTAACGGAGAAATTTTTTCTATAGAATTTAATATAATAAATTGGGTTAAATCAACGTGTTAAACGAATACACGGTCATATGATACGTACATTTTTATTTCGTTTTATTCGGAACTGCTCTAAAATGTTGTTGTAAACTTCTAATTAATTAATCGCCAAAGAGAGAAAGAAAAAGAAAAAGAAAAAGCGTGTAAACGACACGTCAGAAGTATTTGCTAGGGACAGGTCCTGTTTTGCTTTTAGCACTCCTCAACCATCAAAACTCATTATGAAACCGGACTGCGATTAGCAAAACATGGAGTGCTCCGAGTGTTCTCAGTTCGGAGGTGGACAAAAGCAACGCCACTCGAAACGACAGCGTTTTAGGGCAAGGTCAATGCGACGTCGTTTTCTTATCTAAGCAATTGTTCTCCCTGCACCATGTGAATGGAAAGGTGCGAAATTCAGACTCTAGTATAAACCCAGATTTTCTCCCAACAAGACCGAACTTCGAACGCAACGAGAGGAGAAGAAAAAACAGATGGAGCATTCTCAAGTTCTAAGCTTTTTCATTGTCTTTCAGACGTCATCCCGTCGTTTTCTTTGTGCCCTCTCTCTCTAATTTGCCCTTTTCCTTGTTTGGTTGCCGAGAAAATCAGGCCTGGAAGAGGAATAGAAGGAAAGTTTCTTTCTTTGGCTTCACCTTCTCGAGCGCCTCTGAGAGCTAAAGCCCCCTGAAGAGAACCCTATGCCTAAAGCTTGTCATTTTTCTCCATTAACTCTACCGTTCCTTCACTGAGAAGTCATTTTCTGGGTTTTTTTCTCTCTTCTCCATGTTGGTAACTGGGTAGTTATCTTCCCCGCGAGGAAAACGTGGTTCCTGTTTTCTGGAAGTGTCGGGATTTTTGAGTTCCTTCTGGTTAAAATATGGCGGAGTCGACCAAAGTAAGACTGGTTCGATGTCCCAAGTGCGAGAATCTCTTGTCGGAGCCTGAAGATTGCTCGGTTTACCAGTGCGGTGGCTGCGGGGCCGTTCTTCGTGGTGAGTGTTGTTTTATTTTTCTCTTTCCCCTATTTCGATTGAGTGAAAGAGGAACGTAGTTCCCAGGATTTTGATCTGTGTCTTTACTGGAATATGGAGAAAACAGGATGTCGTATGTAATCTCTCGAGTTTTTGACGGTTTCTACGATTAGGGATTTGGATTGTCTTCCCACCCATAATCTAAAGCCTGTAACTTTGATCCGTTTTTCATTTCGAAGACTTCGTCGACAAAAAAAGGGTTTCTCTTTTCTTACCGATTTCTTTTTTTTGGGTGCAGCAAAAAATAGTGACCGTGAAGCAGATTCTGCTTTGGACAAGGAAGATGATAGAGCGAATGCAACTTCAGTTAACTCAAGTAATTCAACAGAAAAGGCAGTTGCAGATTCAAGCGAAGCATCTGATTCAGATGTTCCATCAAATTCGGGTTCTTCCAGGCACCGACAAAATGGACCAGCAGAAGCTTGTGCTGTTGAGGATGATCCCTGTTCCAAAATGAATACTCTCGATTCGGGTACGGACACTGTACTTAGAGATGGGGAAGATCCGGTTTCACAGTCCGGGTCAGAGGAATCTGGTCTGGACAGGTTTAGGAAACGAACAACCAAGAGAAATGATCCTGAAGGTTTCAGGTTATCCACCTCGAAATTTGCGGATGAAGGCCCTTCTAACTACTTTGCAGACTCCCAGAAACAGTTGAAAGACCAGAGTGATGAAGCAATCGAGCAAGATCGAGCTGGACTACTGAGAAAGCTGGATGAGCTCAAGGAACAGCTTGCCCGGTCGTGCAATGTGGGTGAAGTACCGAAAGAACAAGTTCCGAGCTTGTCTTCGGAGACGGATAAGGCTCCATCGAGGATTTTCGGTCCTGGAAAACATTCTGCCGGTCCATCGTATTACCATCATTACCCTGAACCATCATCGTTGCCTTATGCCAGTAACCACGACATTTCAATGCACGGTCTGATGTATCCTTCCTCGCATAACCCAGCTCGTGTTTCTGGATACGGAGATCCTATGGGGTTCCAGATGCATGGAAGAGCCCCACAGCCATCTCATCCGTACTATTCCGGGCAGTATGTCGGTAATAACCATGATTTGTTTGAGCCGTACCCACAAAATGGAATCTTTCACCAGCCATCTTGCTCATGTTTCCACTGTTATGATAAATACCGGAGAGCGTCAGCCCCGGTGGTTCCTCCCCCGGGAATGGCTGATGTACCATACAATGCCGGTTTTTACCCTCATGAAAGCATTATGGGTTTCGGCCCTCATAATTGCAATCCTCGAACCTTTGTTCCTCCTCCTTTGGCAAGCTCTCGTTCCTCACAGGCCCATGCCAGATGGCCTAGTGACTTTGTGGCCGCTCATACGACGAATGGTCTTTCTCGAGTTCGTCCCCCTAAGGTTGTATTATCAGGTGGTTCTAAATATATCCGTCCTTTGGCCGGTGGTGCTCCATTTGTGACCTGTCAAAACTGCTTCGAACTTCTGAAACTGCCAAAGAAAACAGACGCTGCGATGAAAAAGCAGCAGAAACTTCGGTGTGGAGCATGCTCTTGCTTGATAGATTTCTCAGTTGTTGATAAGAAATTTGTTATTTCAGCTGATCGAGAGATGAACCCGGCTCCAACAAGAGATGCAGAAACTCGTATCCATCGGTTGACTGCTAATTTCTCTTCAGATGATTATGATAACGCTGGTTACGAGTTTCATTCAATGGATAGGGAATCGGCTGAACTGTCAACCGGCCCGGGTTTGATCTCAGACAAGCCTCAAGAACTGCAGAACTTGCATACTTCATCTCCCAGCGTTTCTGAGGACGAATTAAGTTCAGATAGTCTAATAGCTAAACCGCTTCCACCAGATTCACCGTTCCATGACCATTTTGAATACGCTTCCATCAATCACGGTGTGCATGATCGGTCTGGAACTGGGAACCGGAGTTCTCGTTCAGAACAGGACAAGGTCACATCGAAAAAGACAGCAGCCACCAGGCAGAACTCCATGAAAGAGGCATCAGTTGTGGCAACTGAGATGGACGTTTCCTTCAACGAATTCTCTCATAACAGTGGAGTGTCTCAAGATTCAGGGATTGGGAACAGAGGAGATGACCTGCGGAAACAAAGGAAAGGAGGGTTTGCTAGTATTGTCAAGAAAAGTTTCAAGGATCTGACAAAGTCTGGTCAGAACGAAGAGCGCGTGAAAGGTAATGTCTCGGTGAACGGACATCCCATATCTGAACGTTCAGTGAAGAAAGCCGAAAAGCAGACTGGAACTATCCAACCAGGAAACTATTGGTAGGCACACACACCTTCCCACTTCAATCCCTTGTCGTTTTCTTGAGTGTGCATTCGGGTAACAAGCTTCTGTTATGTCATGGAAACCAGGTATGACTACCGAGCTGGATTCTGGGGTGTAATGGGAGGTCCATGTCTCGGCATAATACCGGTAAAAACGATTTTTTACCCATTTGTTCTTGTGATGAATGTGACTGACTCGCCTTTAAGGCTGACAACATAAAAAAACGGATATTTTCGTTGGTGTGTGTGCAGCCCTTCATTGAAGAGCTGAATTACCCGATCCCAGAGGACTGCGCGAGTGGGAAAACGGCAGTGTATGTGAATGGAAGAGAGCTTCATCAGAGGGACCTGGACTTGCTTGCAGGCAGAGGGCTTCCACCAGAGAGACACAGATCCTACATCATCGACATCTCGGGGAGAGTCATGGATGAAGACACTGGGGAAGAGCTTGACAGTCTTGGCAAACTCGCTCCCACGTAAGCATATACGCTCTCCTCTTCTCTTTTCTTGAATTCCTATCGGGATATGCCTGCGTAACCGAGTTAGAGTTTTTGATCAGGATCGAGAAGTTGAAACGTGGGTTCGGGATGAAAGTTCCGAGGAGGGCTTCGTAAGGGGAGAAGCTCGAGAGAAGGATGTGCTAACCTGAATCAGCATCTCGTCCTTTTTTTTTTATCAGATTCTTCCTCTTTAAAACTTGGCTTTACGTTTTTTTCTCAGTTATGTTCGTTTGAGTTTGAAGAACGTTTATGAACAGTGCAGTTAGTTTGGCTTGGCTCAGTGTAAATGTGCTTCAGCTTCAATGATTTATATTGGCCGTATGACTCGGAATCAGATGGAGAATTCACATACATACATATATATACACACACACACGCACGCTATCGGGCCTGCCATGATTCATGAACGAACGATACGCGGAAGAAGATGTCGTCATGGTGGTGAATACCAAAGTGTTACAAAATTTATTCTTCCGTTAGATTCGCGTAGCTACACGACACAACCGACGATAATATTTGCATAACTTCGTAAAAAACCTAACCGAGGAAGAGAAACTACGAGAGAAGGTCGAGATAACTGTCGAAGGAGAAATCTGCGTCCAAGTCGATGAACGGTGACAAGTACGGATCTCCGGTCGGCGAGTTCGTAACGGAAGTAGGCGCAGACATTAACTCCGAGGTGGTAATGACAGATCCAGACGTCGCTGGGGACCATTTCTCCATCAGATTTTCCGGGAAAATCTCGCTTTTCCACTCCGCATTTTCCGGCTCGGCCTTGGAGAAGGAAAATGTCCTGAAGATGGCCTTTTTGTTCTCTATTTCGACGAGGCTCAGCATCATGTCCTCCTCCATCCGTTCCGTGTCGTGTTCTGGCTTGCGTTCTGTTTCTCGTACGGACGCATGGTTCACGGCGGCTGTTGCAGGAGTGACGTCATCACACGTGTGGGTTCCGAGATACTTCACTTCGAAAACCGAAGGATCTGTGTCGGATCTCTGAACTTGCTTCACGGCTAAACACCCTTGCGAGAATCTTCGCGTGCATCTGTAATACCCTCTGTATTGAATACAGTTACAGAATTACATTACAGAACTGCCGTCAAACCCGAACATGTCGGAAAAAAAAAAGATTCGAAATTTGCAATGCCCAGAGTGAAGGTTTTTATTACCTAGGGTTCTTGGATCCAAGAATCTCCTTCTGCCCGTATTTTCTCCAGCAATAACCGTCTTCGATACAAGCCCCATCTTGTCCTTTCCCGACACAAACCTTCACCACTTTCTCGGATTCTTTCTCCGATATTTTCCTGCGAGAAACAGAAGAATCAGACACAACGAAACCCCCCCAAAAGCTCGAAATTCCGATCCCAGAAACGTTCGGTTGTGTCTCCGACCTCTTCTTAAAGACGTTCTTGAAATCCATGTCGGAAAAGCCCTCGTTCTGAGGGCTCAAGCTAACAGTGAATTTGGTTTGTGGCGCCGGAAAACCCCCGCCGGGATTCAGCAAGGAGATGGCTTTCTGGTATGAAGAGAGGATTTCAGAGATCAAGCTCCGGTCGATAACTTTTAAAATTAACTAATTCGTACAAACGTGTTATTCTATAATAATCATAATCTATTTAAGAAAATGAAGAATTTTATAGAAGCATACAATCGTCCAATCCTCTTTCCCTTGTTCAAGCTCGTGGATCACATTCCTCTTCCCTTCCATCTTCGTCGTCGTCGTCATCATCATCATCTCCGTTCTCTTTACCATTTCACAAACCCAATGTTGTTCATTCGATGTGATCCTCACTGTCTCTCTCCGTCTATATATATGTGTGTGTATATATATATTATGTACGCCTCTGTATATGTAAATGTGGTACTGTGTGTATGTTGTTGCATACGCAAAGAAGTTGAGTGGAAAAGAGAAGGATGTTGTAGAGAAATGACAAAAGCAGACCGAAGCTTTCACACTCTTTTTTTTCCCTTGACTCATTCAACCTCTTCCTGCTACAGAATTTTTTTTATTAAAAAAAAAATCACCAAAATTCAGTCAAGAAAATCAATTAATTATGCGATAGGAAATTGAAATTCCGACAAGAATCTTCAAAGCCCTTCCCCCGCGTTAGGGGTGAGATTGCTGACGTGACCTTGGCGACGTCAGAATCGGTCCAGCTTCGAATGTTACCTTAGAAATATTAAATTTTCAGTTATATTCTTTCTAACTAATTTACGTGCCTAAAAATTTCTGATAATAAATTTTGATTATCGATAACGGTGATGAATGAGCACTGAAATAATTGTACCCTAAAAAAAACTTGAAATGTGCATATAATCATACGATGCATGTGCCTTAAGAGTTCATGACTTTTCCCATTAACGCAGTCGACAGTGACATTTTCACGCTGCGATATTCATAAACATTCATTCTTATAAAACCTTTTCTTAACAAAAATGTTATACATAAATCATTCTTGTAGCGTTTCCATTGATTTTGTATTTTTTTTTTGTTTTCAAAAATCTAAATTATAAGATTTTGAGATTTAATTTCCCCCCTCAAAACATATAGTTATTAGTCACTAAGGGCCCGACTGGTTGCACCGCCACCATCCGCAAACGGAGCGGTTACGGTTTTTAGCGGGTGGTGACTGGTTTAACTGCGCGCAAACGTAGCCGCTACTAAACTTGGAAAATCAAAACGCTGCTATTCATTTGCGTTTTGTTGCGATTTCATGTGTTTTATGAAAAATGACCAAATTACCCCGTCAAAAATTAAAAAAAAAACCCTAAAATTTTCTGTCTGCCTCTCTCGCCTAACACAAGAGAGAGAATACCTTCTCTGCACCTAGATCTATCTTTTTCTTAATTTTTTATTTTATGATTAACACAAACGTAACCGCTACTAAACTTGGAAAATCAAAACGCTGCTATTCATTTGCGTTTTGTTGCGATTTGCTGTGTTTTATGAAAAATGACCAAATTACCCCTGTTAAACTTAATTATGTATTCTTTTCATTTTAGTTATCTTATATATTATTTTGTTGATGATTTTGTTTATTATCATAATTTAAGTTTAATTTTTTATTTTATGATTTATGTTAAAAAAAATATAATAGCATCACATGATTTTATAAAATTTAGATTTATCAATAATTATTTTTAAGATTTTATAATAAATATTAATTAAATCGATAAAATTTATATTTTAAAATAATTTTAGATTTTTTTATAAATTATATAAAATATTTTTTTAAATGATAATATAAAAACTAATTACAATTAATTCAAAAAATTATCTTATAATCATATCCTTTTTGGTAATTTACAATAAAACGTAACCGCAACCACTTACAACCATTCACTTCTAATCGCAATCAACCGCAACCGCCACCAACAGTTAATTACCAACCAGTCAGTACAAACCGCCCATAATCGCTACTAAATATTTTTAAAACGCTACCACCCGCAACCGCAACCGATGCGATACAACCAGTCAGGTCCTAAATAATGTGTGTTTATGGCCTTTTTAATAGAAATCCGCAATAATAGAAACCGCGAGTATATATAATATTCGCTAAAGACAGTTTTATGCGCATATATATTTTGTCCGACCACAGATTAGTTGGATAAAATCAAATAAATATGCCACCGGATATTGGGTATTTAATTTATTTTTTTGGTGCGATATCACATATTTTGTGAACTAGAAAGTTCCCTTATCCCGGAGCAAACCTATCATAAACCTCTAAGTAAAGCAAATACGGTAACCCATTATTTTAATATTTTATTCCATTTTTAATCATTCAGTTTCATCAAAATCTGGATAAAAACAATAAAATAAATATGTACCTTCCACGAAATTCCCATTTATTTGTAATTAATTAAAAAAAATTGGTGCGCGTAGAAAGCGACAACGAATTTGAACTTTCTTTTTTCATATTCCCAAATCCAAAACTCTTTGGCCCCTCTCTGCCTCCTCTATTTCCTCTCCCCTTCGTTGTAATAAATATGCGGAAATATGGGTACTATTATAAATATTTGTATATGTGATTGTTGGGTTTTTGCCGTAATTTTGTTACGAAAATTTTAGAGGACATATCCACGCATGAGACGTGAACAAAATTTTCATCATAAGTGATGCGGATGATAACTAGTTCGTGGCATTTGCAAAACCTCGTTGATGTATTTAAATTTTTTAAAAAGTCGTATAATGTCTGCGTCTGCATATTAAACCCGTGATTATATATGGGCAAATACAAGATTGAACCAACGGTCCAACTCATGTTCCAGTTAATTTGTGATTTTTATAATGTATTTTGTGTAATAACAAAAAGAACGTATCATAGTAATTTGAGAAAAAACCCCGAAAAGCCATACTAGATTACGATGTCAAGAAATATTTCTCGTGATTTTATATATTATATTAATTACGAAATTAAATAAGAACAAAGAGGATGTGGTGACGTATTTAATGCGTTATAACTTTTAAAATTAACTAATTCGTACAAACGTGTTATTCTATAATAATCATAATCTATTTAAGAAAATGAAGAATTTTATAGAAGCATACAATCGTCCAATCCGTGATCTATATAATTCCACTGTTTTTGTGTGAATATTGTATATCTAATTTACTTATTTCATATAAGACTCTCATATATAACTATTTTGATTATGAATAAAAAATATCTTTCTGCAAATTTCTACATTATCTTAATCTTATAATCAGAAAACATATATATTTTTAGACAAATCCACCGATTATATCGAACAATGTTAGATCATAATATAGAATTTTTTTTTATGGAAGAAATTTGGAAATTAAAGTTCCAGCCGATGAAGAAACGGCACGCTTTTTGTGGATCAAATACGTAAACGGGCTTTAGTTGAAGCCCAGTACGCATTTTCAACCTCCTTTCAATTGATTGGGCCGTCCTTTTTATTTGTTTCAGAAATATAAAAAAATTAAATTAAAATAAGATGTCCTAGAAAAGAGACACGTGGCAGGCGGTGAGACTGCCAAGTGTTGAACCGGATTCAATGAACCGAAAGCAAGAAGACGAGGCGGCGGCTGCAACCACCTGGGGAACGAAATGTGGAGACTACTGCCCTCTCCTCCTCCATGCAACCCAACATTTGGCCTCTGTGGCCGTTTCTCTCCCATTAATTACTTAAATGCCCCTTTTTCATCTCTAAATGACGGATTCACCCTCGGTCCTAATCTTGCTCCTAATCCCACTCCTTTTTAACTTCCGGGAAGACTTGCGATTTTCGGAGTTTGATTTTATTCAACAGAAATTCGTTCAGATGTGTAAAACTTTTAGTCTAAACTTGTGAGAAAATCGAATCTGGTTAGAGATTTCTCATAACGATATTTCCCAATATTTTCTCGCTAGTTAAAAGCTTGGGACGTTTTAATCCGTAAATACCTCACTAAACCGAGGGTATTTCCGTCTCACCAGCCATTTTTCTCTCTCCCCCTCTCATTCTCTTTGGTCCCCTGGGAAAAGTTATTTTTTTATATATACATACATAATGAAAATCACATACACATTCGTATATAAGCTTGCATCTGTCTCGAACCGGATCTTGCTCGGAGAGAGAGAGAGAGATCTTTGACATGAAAAGAGAGTGTTCCACAGTTCCCGATTGTTCAGAAATTGCGTGAGCTCTGGAAGATTCTATTCCGCCATTGTTCAAAGCTCGAGATATATCTGTCTACGTGGTTCGGTCTTCTCGTCGAAGAATGCGGCATCGGCGATATTACATGTCGTCGGATCGTGATCAGGTGATCTTCTCCGGCTGATCCGACGGCTGTAAACACTTCTCGATCCGCCGACCGAGGAAAAGGTACGCCTCTCTCTCTCTCTCTCTCTCGAATTCTCTTTCTACCACATCCCGATTGAGTCCCGCGATTTCTCAAACTGAGAATCTGTAAATCTGGCAAAATTAAACCGAGATTTTTAGATATTTACGAGGAAGAAAAAACTTTCTGGATTTTCCATTCTCGCAAATATTCTCCTGAGAAAATCTTTTTTTTTCCTTCCCGAGAAAAAAACATCTCCTGGCGGTGATATTGACATTGAGTTCTCGCTACAGAGAAAGAAAATCGACGGGAGAGGAAAGCTGAGGCATGTTTCCTTTAATAACAGCCTGGTGATGCTTTCGTTGTGATGTGCGTACAAAGTCACGAGCGTTATGATCTGGCGCACGTGCGAGGCACTAGTGTTCCACACTGGCCGGCCCAGCTTAACTAACGTTTCTCTTGTCCTAGAGAGAAATTGCTTGAATCTAAATTACATCATATTATATGAAATTAATTGAATTTTGGGATCCTTTAAATCTTCAACAGATACGATTGAATAATGGCTAGATTCAAAGACCCAAATCGTAAAAAATTAAAACCCTTTTTCTTGTTTTTTTTTTCATCAGGAAAAAACTAAGGGTTGTTGTTTTGGTATTATCACAACTGTTGATATTACATATTCCCAGCTTCCATCAAATATTACGCCGTATCATAAGGTGCACTGGATTTATTTCTGGTCACCGGATCCATCTATGTATGCACGACGGTCCAATTTGTCCGTTTCTAATGCTCGCTTTATGCCAAAATTCCGCACCTGAACAAATCTTTACCTCAGTCAACTCAAGTTTCTCGTGTCTGATCCCTCCTTCGATTGTCTCTCGCAGTGTTGATTGGTACAAAGCATGGCGTGCAATGCGAACATGGCGGCCACAGCCTCTCCCGTGGCTGTGAAAGACGTTCCGAAGGAACATATCGGCCTTCGTAGATCAGTGTCCTGTCAGGATCTTGCCGTGAAAGGCTCTGGTATTAGGAGGTCCAATTCAGACAGCCACTTGTCTTGCCACTCTGTCAACCGGATCCGTGCCATGTCTCCACGTCCGGGATTGAGGAGTAGCCGTTCCGTCGGGGCGTTTTCGTGTCAGGTATCGAGTTCTATAATCCCGAACCCGATAAAGTCTTTGCTGTTTGATCCGGAGACAGGCGACGAGGACAGCGATGAACTGAATCTAGAGACAGAAAACGAACAAGTGGACGCCAAGAGGGCGAATTGGGTGGAGAGGCTGCTTCAGATACGGAGACAGTGGAAGAAGGAGAAGGGGACAGAGAATTCGGATGGCCATGGCGTTTCAGAAGAGAATGATGAAGATGTTTATTGCTGTTGCCATGAAGACGGGTGGGAAGAAGAGCGGCAAACCGAAGGCGACGATCAGGAGCGATTACAGTTCAACCATGAATCTTTCTCGAGGTTGCTGGTGAAGGTGCCTTGGTCGGAAACTAAGCAGATTTCTCAGTTAGCATTCTTGTGCAACTTGGCTTACGTTATTCCCGAAATCAAGAAAAAACAGGTTGATGATCTTAGAAGAGACTATGGATTAAAATTTGTGACATCTTCTCTGGAGAAGAAGGCGAAGGCTGCCATACTCAGAGAGAAACTCCACCAAAACTCCATTAGAGCCCCTGTTCCTGCCTCGGGATCCGGGAAGAATCAGATACGATCTTCCGCTGCTTACAAGATCGCTGCTTCGGCCGCCTCTTACATTCATTCACATTTCCTCTTTATCCAGGGTTTATCTTTGGTTTGACATTACAAGCGTTGCATGCCAAGATGTTGAGGAGCTTTACAAATTGCATTGTCCTAAGCTGCGGCTCAAGCGGCAGCCTCGACGATGACAGCTGTGGTCGCTGCAGGCGAGGAGGAAAAGCGGGAGGCGGCTAAGGAGTTGCAGTCGCTACTGTCTTCGCCTTGTGAATGGTTCGTGTGTGATGATCCAAGCACAGATACTCGGTGCTTCGTGATCCAGGTATGGTACTTTTAACATATTCTTTGACAAACCCGTCTAAGACTTAACATCGAACCAGCTTATCGTGCTAACCAGCTTATCGTACTTGCAGGGATCCGATTCTTTAGCGTCTTGGCAAGCAAACCTCTTCTTCGAGCCGACTAAATTCGAGGTAAAGGAAAGAGCGAGTCGAATAAATGATCACTGAAATTAACACTCATATTTCATAGGGGAATCAGACATGAGGTTTCGTTCCTGCAGGGGACGGACGTGTTAGTCCACAGAGGAATCTACGAGGCTGCAAAGGGAATATACGAGCAGTTCATGCCAGAAATAGCCGAGCATTTGAGGAGGTACGGTGATCGAGCCAGGTTTCGGTTTATGGGCCATTCTCTGGGAGGCAGTCTCTCTCTGATCGTGAATCTGATGCTGCTGTCGAGAGGCGTGGTTAAACCCGAAGCCATGAAACCTGTAGTTACCTTCGGTTCGCCGTTTGTGTTCTGCGGTGGTCGGAAGATTCTGAACCAGCTTGGCTTGGACGAGAGCCACGTCCACTGCGTGATTATGCATAGAGACATCGTTCCACGAGCCTTCTCCTGCAACTATCCGGACCACGTAGTTCTCATCCTCAAGCGCCTTAACGGTTCTTTCCGGTCACACCCTTGTCTGAACAACAGCGTGAGTCTTACGTAAGATATATATCAGGAGTCGCGTCCGTCCGTACGTAGACATAATCTGAAAGACTATATTTGGTCGTGTCTTTTCTGCAGAAACTGCTCTACTCTCCACTGGGGAAAGTGTTCGTTCTCCAGCCGGACGAGAGAGTGTCGCCGCCTCATCCGTGGCTTCCTTCGGGAAACGCTCTTTATGTTCTCGACACTAGCCACGACTCGTACTCCCCGACTGCACTCCGGGCGTTTCTGAACCGGCCACATCCCCTCGAGACACTGAGCCATCCGGGGGCTTATGGGTCCGACGGTTCAGTGCTTAGGGACCACGACTCGAGCAACTACGTAAAGGCAGTGAACGGTGTCCTGAGAGAGCACACGAAGCTGGTCATCCGGAGAGTACGGAAGGAGCGGCGGATGATGTGGCCGGCGCTGACGTCAGATCGGAGCTCCTGGAGCCACGGTGATGGCGTGGCGGCGGCGGAGGAGATCATAACACGCGCCTAATTTACGGTGTATATGTATATATCAGCGTGTGTTTGTTTTATGACGAAGGGAAAGAAA